GCTGATGTGGTTTCAAGCCACCAGGTCCGGAACTCAAACTTGTCTTCCATGTGGGAGTCCGGCGCCTTAACCACTATGCCACCTGCTGGCTCTGAGAAACATCTTCTTTTTAAGCAGTAGAGAACATTAATTTCTTCATGGTGTTGGTACTGCATATTGGAGATAGATGTGAATTCTAGAGGTTCAACAAATAAGAATCATATATCCAGCTGTTTGGCCACAAGGGTTTTAAGTATTGTATTTTGTGAGTTTGCAGGGGTCGCTCTTTTAAGATCTTTAATAGCTTATTAGTCCTCACACTTCTGAGGAAGGTGGTCCTCTTTCATTTCACAGAAGAGAAAACTGGGGCATGTTTGCCCAGTGTCAAATGGCTAGTGCATGGAGTAGAAGTGTGAGCTCCGAAATTCTAGCTTCATAGCTTCTGCCCTTAACCACTGTGCTTTATGGAACTGTATACGTTCTATTAGTTGTTTCATCATTGGTATTAGTTCACCTTAGGAGTTCTTATGGGTCCTGGTTATAGTCATATTCTGTCACATGTTCTGTGGAGCAGTTTCGTCCCAAACCAGTTCCCATCCTGTACTTTCTTTTATTTTTTAAAAAATTATTTATTTAACTTTATTCATTCATTCATTTTTAATTTGACTACAGAGATACACACACAGACACACACACACACACACACACACACACAGAGAGAGAGAGAGAGAGAGAGAGAGAGAGAGAAAGAGAGAGAGAGAAGGTGAGAGAGCAAGCCACCAGGTCTAGGACTCGAACCGTATTCCCCCATGTGGGAGCACCCAGTGCCTTAACCACCACGCCACCTGCTGGTCCCCTCCATCCTGTACTTTCTGCATCAGAATCGTTAGGGATGATGCTAGGCCTTGTGTGTGTCTTAAAAAGTTCTATCAAGGTAGTGGATCAGGTGGGGGTTGAGAGAAATACCAAATAAAGAGTGGTTTAAAATGGTGGAAGCAAGGATCCTAATGATGATAACATAGCTGCCATTTTCTGAGTATTCACTTTTGTCAGACACTATGTCAAATATTTCATAAACAAATCATTTAAGTCTCATGATTATCTTTTGAGGTAGATATTTTTAATTCCCAGTTTCCAGATGAGTAAACAGGCTCAGTAAAATTACCCTATAGTAAGTTATAGTAGTGGAGCTGAGTTTTGATTCTTGGTGTCTGAGTCTGGACTCAGTGTTCTCGATTCCCATTTCTGAGTAGGGGAAGGTATACATGATGTAATTCTTGGTAGTTCTCAGAGCTGTGGTTTTCAGAAGTTTTAAAAACTATGCCCCCCCTCCACATGCTCTAATACCCTTTGTGGGTTACAGTTCTGCAAAGGGGCCTAAAATTATTATTAAAATTTTATGGAAGCATAATTACAGTAAAATGCAGAGTTTTTATAAATGTATGCACTCATGTAACAAGAGAACACTTTTTATTTTTCATTTATTTATTTAAATTTGAGGAACAGAGTGAGAGAGAGAGAGAGAGAAAGCCACCAGCAGGTCTGAGACTTGAACCATGGTTGGCTATGTGGGAGTCCAGCACCCTTAACCACCATGCCCGCTGCTGACCCCAAGAGCACACGTTTTTATCAAGGGCCCTACATGTGCAGTGATATGCACGAGGAGTGGGAACCCTAGGACCTGAGCCCTTCACTGCAATGGTGGGGAGTGGTAAGCTGTTTCTTTGATGACTCTTAAGCATGTTGAAGCATGCCAGGGAGATCTTTGGGACTTGCTGATTTTGGACTCATGCTAATCATGGAGTATCCTTAATCTTCATTAGTCTAGAAAATAAAGCTTTTGTTTGTAGCCTGACAGGACCACCTTAGGAAATGGATTACTTTTCCTTGGCTTGGGGGTGGGAGGAGCATTAGTGTTCAGAGAATGGAACTTGTATGGAGGCCTTATGAAACTGCCCTTTACTGGGCTCGTCACTTCAGCATCTGTTAGGGAGTTAGAAAGAGCTGCCCACTAGAAGAAGCACAGGAAAAGTCAGAGTCCTGTAACTTAGTTGGTTATTATTATTTTTTTTTGAGAGGTTTTTGCGATAGGGCGCGTGCGCTGGCCAGAAAGACAGAGGGACCGAAAGTGAGAAATCACCCCCTGGGGGGATGGCCATGCCGCAACCCCTTCTCTTACATTCTCCTCTTGGGATCCTGGGCACGCACGCACATGTGCCCGGCGTGAGTTTAAGCCCCCGGGTCCGGGATTCTAACTGCGCTCGACTACATGGGAGTCCAGCAACATAGCCATTACGCTAACTGCTGGTCCCTAACTTAGTTTATTTTTGAGAGAGAGGTTGGGAGCAGTTTTTATACTGTGTTATAAGCCAGGGGGCACATATGCTTGCCTGAGGGAAGCACCTCTGCGATACCCCCAGTAGGCATGATCATGCCATAATCTTTTCTCCATTCCTCCCTCCCATTGGGATTTTGGGCACCCAGTGTTTTTCAGGCCGGTGGAGCTGAGACTCATACCACATGGTTGGCCATATGGGATCCAGCTCCTTTAACCATTAGGCCATGGGACTGGCCCAAAAGAAGATGTTTTTAACCTACTTACTACTTTATCCACTTTAAATGAAACCAAAGTAAATGTGTCCCCCTCATCTTGGGTGTATAACAAATACAAAGTAGGGCCTAAAAATAAGTCAGTTACACAGTTGTGGAGAGTGTCACAGTGTATCCAGTATATTATTTTAGGGGCCATATATGTGATTCATGCATCTGGATGTGTGATTTTTTTTTTTTTTCTTTGGTGTTGAGATCCTGCCCTCTATTTATCTGGGGAGACTATAAACAAGAGATGTATGCTGTTAAAAAAATATTTTGCTTGGAAAAAAAAAGAAAAGAATAAAGAAAAAATATTTTGAACACATGTCAAAGGAGAGAGAAGGAATGAAGTGATAGATTATAGGCAGGAGAGGACCTTTATCAGGATGTGAAAGAATGGCTTTTTTTTTTTTTTTAAAGGTTTTTGCTATAGGGTGCCAGAGAGAAAGAGACAGAGACAGAAAGTGAGAAATCCCCTCCACCCCCCTGCCCCATGAGGATGGCCGTGTCACAGTCCCTTATCCTGCCATTTTGGGCATGCATGCGCATGCACCCAGCATGATTTTCAAACCACCAGTCCAGGACTCAAACTGTGGTTGGCTGTGTAGGAAACCAGCACCTCAATCACCATGCCTCCTGCTGGTCCCATCTATGTTTTTAATAGTTT